TCTAAGCGAAATAATATTCAGAATAATAGCCGTTTTCTTCATAAACTATCCATTTTCAGAAACAATTCATTTTAATCTCGTAATAGAAAAGTGTCAATTCCGTCTAACAAGCCGCGTCATATTTGCAATATAATCGAAATTCCGTCGTCTATCGTTGAATTATTCAAGAAAAATTGAAAAGATGCTATGAACGATCTTGATATGACCAGACTGAGTGGGTAATATATTATAGCTTACAATAAATATTTTAGCAAGTCAGAGTTATAAATTTGAAATAACTTATTATTGTGGCAAATTTATTTTAATTAAATCATTTATTTTATTATTATATCATATATATTAACGCTACACAGTATACGGAAAAATCATATCATATTTTCTAAAGTCACAATGACATTGCCACTCGAGATTTCAAATTTATCGATAAATAATTTTTAAGAAAGTTATAAAACTTAGATCGTCTCAAAAGGCGTATTATTGTCTGTACGATTTTTTTAATGACAAGACCTCCTGGCAGTAATATAAATTGCTTATGTTAATAAATTTACAAAAATGTATTAGTTTATAAGACATGTTAAAACAGCCGGACTGAGTTTCTTGGGTGTTCTTCTCAGTTATGTTGCTCTTTTGAACACTCTGTAGGAACACGACGAACAGACCGACAAACGAAAAAAAATGTTTGACGAATCTAAATAGTTTTTCAAAGTTTAAAGAGAATAAATTTTATTATTTAATTTTTTATTCGGTATTAGTAGTAAAAAGTACTTAAAAATTAAACGTTGGCGCAATGGTAGCAATGGTGGGGCTAATAATCAACGGGGGTTGGATCCCCATCGGGTCCCTATCCGGCCCGGGGTTATGAATATAATGAATTAAAAAAAAATCTGAAACAAGTTGGATCGTCTGGAAATCTGGATATTAAGTGGGTGGTAGGAATATCGAAAATTCATCCATGTCACGAACCACTCCATTGATGAAAAGCCGTGAAGTTTAATTGCGTTACGGTTTCATTGTGTGGAATTCCGAATATCCAAAACTACAATTAGTTAACGACGCATTTTGCTTAGAACTTTTTTTGTTGATTGTCATTTGATAAAAGGTGATAAAACCACGGGAAGCCCCGTGCTTGTACATCACAAATAAGAGTAAAATTTATAACTAATTTATATATACAGAATACGGAGTATTTTTTGAGTGTTTGTTTGTGCGTATGTCTCGGAGAAAACGTTAAACCTCGGTAGTCAAAGCACGTCCATATTGAAGCGGCATGGTGTATCTCAGGCCTGAAAGTAGTGCCCAACAGTGAGACATTATATCCAGATTTCATTACTTTCACTAGATCATAAATTTAACGTCACTTTAAGCGATGCGACGCGTCTCGAAAACTAAAATCACGAATTTTATGGGTTTTAAAAAGTCTTCTTCACAATATGGGTATCGTTTAAAATCAATTACCGAAAGTAATAACATTTAGTGTCTAACATAAATTGCAAAAAATATCAAATGATCGAATCTTATATAATATTAATATAAAATAATGTAGTTAAATATATTAATAATTTATAAACTAAACGCGATAGTTAAATTGTAAAATCTATTGTCTAGCATTGCATATAGGGTTCGAATCCCAGTGAAAAGGTAAATAGCTAACTTAGGCCGTTTATAACTACCTATTTAACTATCAATTATTCTAACTCTGAATAAAATTCCGCCAAATCCTAAAATAATAGATTGATGAGTTTCAAATAACCTGTGGTCAAAATTGTTATTTTTGACAGATATATCATTTTGCGAAAAATATAGTATTATTTTTATTCTTTTATTATTAAATTGAAGTTAACATATAATAAAAGCCCTTACTGAAAATCTCTTAAGGAATATTGAAAGTCTAGATGATTTTTATTAAATTATTTAGTAGAGCAGACTGGGCGTATGAAATCTTAATATAAAGCAAATAGTTTGTTTCTCAGAACGGCTGGCCGAGAATTTTTCCAAGCCTTTGTGGCTAGGTATTTTATAAAGCAACGTGAATAAGAAATATTTTGAAATTCATTATTAACTGACACTATCTAGAGGAAGAAAAACATTTCATTTGTGGCGGTTGTGAAATTTGTTTTTTTTTATGATAGGGGAGGACAGAATGGGGTTCGTTTGATGGAAGGTAGAATACCATATAACATATAATTAGATGCGCTATGGACTCACATAAACGCTATTCAACTTCATCGGTCTTCCATCTTAGGACTGTGTATTGTGACCAGGTCGGTATTCCGATATTACCATCCGTTTATTATCCAGATCTCCAGACGAAGTCAAACATTTCAGAAAATTACACATAGATAAGAAACATTTGGACACGGAGAGGTCCAATATGTTTATTAATCAACCTTTGCCACGGACAATGTGTTTAAAAATATTTTTACATAGGTAAGGTAACAATTTCGTTCTGACGTTTATGTAGCGTAAATTTATTACGAAGTATAAAATTAATTGGACTTATTGAATAGTGAAAAAATAGCAAACATTTCTAAAGGTTGGAGAACATATTCTGGCAGATAGATTGTTGGTTTTATTCTCAAAGGACCAAAAATAATTCATGTCGATGTACAAAAGTGACGTAGTTTTCTTCTAAAAAGAGTACTAGTATACTAGTAAGAATAAATAATCTCAATACAGGCGTCTAGACGAAAATGTGGCTTATGATAATAAACTTCTCTGTAGCTCTGTGATGTGTTTCTTATAGCACAAGTTATTGGGTTCGAATCTGTGACACAAAGGCCATGTACATATCTTTATCATCAGGAGCAAGTTGGTTATCAAGCTGGAATATCAAATATATTTGAGAAAACAAGATGGCCATGTTTTTCCGCCTCTCACGATACGCATTTATGATGTAATAGATAAAGATAATTGGATTTTCGATATGATCAACCTTTTTTAAACTTATGAGACTATATTTTTATTTATAATTATTTAATACCCAGCGTATACAGAAGTCTAACTTTCATTTCTCTCTCGTTTGCCTACCATTGAGTTGCACGACGAGAGGTCCTGGGTCGAAAACGCGGTTCATATATTAATATCATTGTTATTATTTGTAATATTTTCGGCCGGACAGAGCACAGGAATCTTAATCACTAAATACATAAAATAACAATTGTAAAACGGACATGTACATTTTTTTAATGACAGACAAGCATGGGAATCACTTGTCTTTGTTTATTCGGAAGTCCACAGACTGATTAAACTTCACAGTTTTTACTGGAATTTCAATATTCCTACTACCCATTTAATATTTCAACTAAGTTTTACCACTTTAAATTATAGTAACTCTTAAGAGAATATTTCTTATTGATTCTTAAACGTAACTGAATTGCACGAAGAAATCTGTTAACTGTTTATTTCAATTTCGGATTCCTTCATAAACTGACAGATGTCCAATAAATAGCACACTCAAGTGGGTCTATTTAAGCCGTCGATAAATAAACACTTTTTATTACTTTAGAATTTATTTCTTTTTTATGAGATGAACTAGACGGAGGTCGCTGACTCATCTCAAAATCGGTGTCCTTATATTTGTGTTAAACTGTTCTATAAACAAGGTAAATTATTGAAATCTTACCTTAATTTATGTGTTAGCGTTATTAAAAAAAACTAACTATACGCCATACAATAATACTCTATTAATAACAGTGACAGTGACAGTTCGAACGTGGCGCCATCTGTGGCTGAAGGAATACAAGTCTTAAAGTAAGAATTCAAACGTAAAAAAAAAAATAGTCTGGTAATCTAGTTTTGAAGGGCATAACTAAATCTAATAAATTACCACAGGAAATATTAAAAATAGCTTTTGTCAGTAGTGTCTATTGTCGAACTAATTAGGAGAATTGGATGTACCGACGTTTTTTTTTATGTTAGTTGTCCCAACTTTACACTATGTAATAAGAAATAAGTTATCATCGTGTAGTAAGGGGTAGCTAACAGGGCATTTATTTTTTTCAATTTATGGCGTACAAACAGCGCAAAATTTTAATTGAAGTAAAAGTAAATAATACAGTGCTTAGTTTGTACCTAGCTCAGTGCACGACCTAGAGCCGCAGAACGAGATTAAAACGAATTGCCTTTACGAAGCACTCAGTGATACAGTGAAAGGAGATAGCTTTTCAGCGATTTGGATTAAGTATCTCATAATCATTAGTTCCTGGTACTTTTTATGTGCTAGTAAGTACTTATAATAAATATATAAATATTTAGTTATATAGTAATGCTGACATCATTCAAACATTGAAGTTTATTCAGAGGTTTGTGATCGCCTAACTATTTTAAAAATATACAATATCAAACACATTCACGTGATTATTAGACGTTTTATAAGTAAAAACATTATTTGAAATGAAATTTACACAATTTGTATTATTGTGTACTTTATTTAGTGTTATGATGATATGATTTTGGGAAATGACTTCGTTATTTGATATTTGTGTGTTGTTTTTAAATCCAGGTGTGATATGTATAAAAATTTTAAAGTTACAACCTTACACCAAAACATAGTAAAAAAGAAAGAATGTCTGTTTTATTCAAATAATAATGAAAACCATATCCTCGATTCAATTGACATTGGGCACAAAAAGGTCCTGGGTTCCAATGCCGACGGTTAAAAAACATCATAAATTCAAATAAATTCAATCATTTCTGAATCTGTTGAAATGGGCCTTTACGTATAGTATAATAGAAATGGATAGATATAATAAACAGAACTGTTCATCGCAGTATGTCGTTGCGGTAAACTGGAACTAAATATAGGCCACGGATTATTTTGGACTCGGCTGTCGCGGCTCTAGACGAAGGCAAATCTAAACACATTACACACGATCCGAGTTCTTCACGTTTATTACGTTTTAAACATCGATTAAATTAACACTGTAATTATAATGTTTGTAATTAACATACGAATTATGTGTTCTGTTCTTGTGCGGTGATGTTTCAAGGAAGAGTTTACAATGAGGACAGTAACGAAATTGTTACTGTTTGTTTTCATGCGAGGAGCACTCACAGATTCGCCTACAATCGGTATGTGATATTGTGTTATTTATATTTGGCTTGTTGTCATTGATATATATCTCAAAATTTTTCAATATACATAGTGAAACTTTGACAGATTGGTTGGTGTGTGTACAGCGATGTATGGCTAAAAATCAATCGGTCGTTTGGTCCCCAACGGCTCTAACATTTTTATAATAAATTTATATATTTTCTAAACGTTAAAAAAGAGAAACCTTCGTCTGGATATTAAATATCGAACGACAATCCACAGATGAAAAAGCCATCAAGGTTAATCGCGTTCTAGTCAGTGAATTTCTAAATATCCACATGTGCCAGGTCGTATGCTTGTCTGTCCTCCTCTAACTTAAAAAAACATATCTGCCTTCTTCCATCCGTATATATACATACAAGATCTTTAATGATGCTATCCAATCCTTGGTAAAATCTTATTTTGACGTCAGAACAAGATCATTCTATACAAGAATTGAGAATTTGTATAAATACAGACGGTGACACGGTAGATTAGTTACAGCGACCGCACGCAACAGACTCGTAGTGGGTTCGAATCGCGCTATCGTCGATTTATCTATATAAAATAGTTGAACTAGTTTGACAGTATGTATGGTTTAACATTAATTTTAACCAAGATTAATAAAATTAAAAATAATTAATTAAAATTATTAAATTAATTACTTTTTATGCTCTGGTTTAAATGTGGTGAATTCCACAATTAATTAGACCAGCCTTAAGACAAATTACATAATTATAATTTAAAAAAATGTTTGTTTATCATTTCGTCACATCAAACCATTTCGAATTGCACTCTGCAGTTCATTCCACCAACAACAAATGTTTATTAATGACATATAAAATTGGCAGTTAGTCTAGTGATAGACTCATTCTTATCATTAATATTAGTCACGTACGTATTTCTCATTTCGATCGACAATAAATCGACTTTAAATCTCACTCTTTCATAGAAGCAAGAACAATAGAAATAATGGTTACAAAGCTTAAACATTACAACACTGTTAGTGTGATTATTTATTTAGTAATTCTTCATTCGATCATAATTTAAGTTACACAATTTACGCTTTTTAAGTAAGTATTATTGCATTTTTAACGGTAAAGGCCTTTTTTTACTAATGGTGTGAATGCCTAATGCGGCGTGCATCGGAGGGGCGGCGGAAGTGTGACGTGGGGAGTGTGGTAAATCCCGTAAATCGTATAGCCCTAACGGTAAAGACCTACAAAACAGAAGACCTAATATTACAATTATTAAATAAATTATACATTTTATTATATATTCTATATATTTTATTCATTGAAAAGATTCACGAAGACTTATCAGATTCTCATGAAATTTTGACACATCGCCTCCCCACCCCCCACCACCCCTATTACCAGTACGTATAACTACCCCTCTTGCCCCGTTTGTCCTTATCATTTAACTGTGCCCTTATATATACCTAATATATTATACTTAATATGTTATTGGTATAATTAATGACATTCGAAAACCATTAACTTTCAGGCGGTATTTTCTACCACGATGACTATGATGCAAAGATGGCTTTACAAGTGAGTGCAGAAAGGTTCGATTTTAAAAATACAATAATAGAAGTATCCAGACGTGGTGCTATTCTGGAGATAAGTGAACACGTGTGTAAAATTGCACAGGTAATGGTTGTACATATTTTTATACCCTATTTTTGTTGAGGGAAATGTCACTATTTTACCCCTATAACTACCCTTTCGTGTTTAGATTATAATGTACAAAAAATGACAACATTAATAAGTTAAGTTAAAATAGTGAAAAACCATTTAAAATTAAAGGCAGGAAGAGAGAGTTTATGGTATACAGTTTGAGTACTTGAAAAAACCGAATATTTTAAAAATATATTATTTGAAATTTACATACACTCTTAAAATATTATTTCACAAATATAATATCTGCTTCATCGTTATTTTCTTTCCTTTACGAATAGCATCAAAGTTCTTTAAGTGGAGTTGAATATGTTTAGCTGGTATAACATTGAAAAATAAACAAAATTTATTTCACTTAGTCATATGCAAACATGATACATACAATTTAAATTAAATTATTAAATTAAAAAACAAAACACTTTAACGGTTTATTACGCGATATGTATTAGTTAAATTTGTTTCATAATTATTTTAATTACAGTCCCACGTGGCGGACGTGGGAGACACGTGACCACGTCTCACGTTTTAAACCGTTAAAGAGTGTTATTTAAATGTATACTACTCTCGTAAACTATTGACAGTATGGTACATATTAACTAAAAATAAGTTATTTACATTTTGTCTTTTTTCCCTCTAGCGTATGTAATATTCGGATGATACAGACATCATGTAGTGTATTTTTAAGCAAGGCAAAATGTCATTTCAGGAAGGTGTAATAGGTTTCATAGACGGCACAGGCGGTCGTGCCACAGACCACGTCCAAGCAATATGCGACGTACTAGAATTACCCCTCATTGTGATACAACATAACGACCTTTACAGCAGAAACTGGTCTTTAATCAATTTATACCCAAGCCCCATTTCCTTCAACATGGTAAGTAGATCGCATTCTATTAACCTGGTAACACGTAAAAGCTAGTAAAACAAAGTTTAAATTGTAAATCTAATACGCTTTCCTTAAAGTTTTATCTAATATATAGATGAAATCTATTCTACTATTACTGTGTAAATAAATAAAATAAAAGGAAACGAACTTCCTAAATACATGAGTATTTATAGAAATTCAAGAACAATTTATTCTCTGGCATTTTTCTGCTAAAGTTATGATTCGAATTTAATCTCGACCGGTTTCAGGTTCTAGAAAAATTAGTCACGGCGAAGAACTGGAACAACTTCACGATACTGTACGAGAGAGGTCACAGCATAGTGAAGGTGCAAGATCTACTGAAACTCAGCAATCCCATTGAGCATGATTCGGTATCAGTTAGGGAGCTTAGCGGCGACAACTATCGGTAAAACTTTACGCTTGGATTAATTTTATCTCTTCGTAGTTTCATTTTTAAACTGATTTAAAAACAGAATAATATAAAAACAAAAAATATAAACACCTAAGAGATTTAAAAAAGAAGCTATACTACGACGAATGCATACTCATAGTCTATACTAGTTGTGCCAGCGACTTCGTCCGCCGAATATTTATTTTGGGCATCCAAATTTGTTTTTGCAAACTCCTTATCTATAAACTGAAGTTGTTAACACCGACGACGTTGGTCGCCTCCCTTTCCGACATTCTTGCAAGTTAATCTTAAAAGATAGACATATAGCGTCGCAGACTTTTTTAGATCAGTTAACGAGAAATCATTCTCTAATTGATATTTTTTAGGTATCTTGAACTGTTTTTGCAGCGCAGTCCTCCGAAACCCACAATGATGAATAATTTTTCCAAAATTTTTCCACATCTCCCGCTATATCTTCACTTGTATTAGTCACAGAGCGCTGTTTAGCCTTCCTCAAAAAATGCTCTAACCAACGTAAATAATTTTTCAATTCGACCCAGTTCCTGATATTGTCTCGTGCAAACAAGCAAACAAACTCTTCAGCTTTATAATTAGTATAAATATGTGAATTAGTCACTACCATCTATCTGATGTAATTCGGCAAGTTATATTTTTTTTCTTGTTTGTAGGATGTTTTTTTTAAGTAGGTTTATAAATCCAAAATAATGATTGGGAATGCAGTAAGAATTCTAGTAAGAGACCATAATTTTAGCCCCCCCGACGTTTCCGATGTCTTAGCAGTAGCTAAAATAAATTGTAAACAAGTTAAATAATACATTTCGCGTTCTAGACCGTTAAAAGTATTTATTTTAATGAGTAAACAGACAGTTTTATTTTTGTTTTTGTTTAAAATTCTTTCCTCAATTGGAATAAATAATATATTTTATTTCTTAATTTAATAATACATTTTCGTTTAGTTTAATAATACATTTTTTATTATTTCAGGGAAGTTTTAATAAACGCAAAACACAGTGGCTACACAAACTTCGTAGTTGATTGTTCTTCAGATAAACTCGAGCAAGTCCTTCGCCAAGCCCAGCAGGTTGGTCTAATGGCAGACGAACATTCATACATATTCCTATCCCCTGATCTTTTCGCTCTAGACTTGAGTAGGTATAGATATGGTGGGGTTAATATGACCGGTAAGTTTAGTTTTAGTTTTTAGTTAGATATTATTGAGTATTGCAATATGCAAATTCACAAAACATTGTTTTTAGCCCTTACCATATTAAAATACTAGCTGTGTCAGCGACTTCGTCCGCGTAGAATAATTATTTTGGTTTGGAATATTTTTTTGGAAAACTCTTTATAGATTCTATCATCTTTATAGATTTAAGTTGTTGGCTACGACGTCCGTCGTGTCCGTCGTTCTTGCAAGTTAATCTTAAAACATAGACGTATAAATGTCACGGACATCTGTTTTTGATTATTTAAAGAGGAATTCTTTTGGGTATCTTGAACCGTTTCGCAGCGTACGGAACGAAAATCCACAGAGTGCAATGTTTTATAGATAATAGGCCGTCCTCGATAAATGCTCTAAACAACACACAAATATTTTTTTCAATTTAAATCAGTAGACAATGAAATAAGCGCGTTCAAACAAACAAACTCTTTAGCTTTATATATTAGTATAGATGACGTTATAATACATCGATTATAATATATACATCGATTGTTCTATAAATAAGTTTTGTGTGAATTCCCGTTTCCCCTCGTGGGGCATGGGGCGAACATGTTTCTGTGTCTGTTTCACTGATCGGTATTTATTTACGGGCAAGTAGTTGATTAGACTTCTGTGCCCTGCCCGACCGAAACAATTTATTGTTTCCCCAAAATTCGAACCTAGGACCTCTAGTGCTTAACGGAATTCTAGGCAACACGTTTAACCATAATCTAAAACCACTCAAACTAATATTCAAAGACATACTAAATCATGTTACTATGTCAGTAATTCAACTGGACGTAAATGTAATTTAAAATTCTTAATGTTTTATTTCCAGGTTTCCGTTTAATAGATTTAAAAAATGAGCAGCTATGGAATTTCACGGCTCAGTATAATGAATTCACCGGTTACACAATTGAGTCTGAAAATATTAAAACGAATGCCGTACTAATACATGATGCTGTGCTGGTATTCGCTAACGCTTGGTCCAAGATTAATTATCTGAGACAGAATGAAGTCCAGAATCCTATGATGGCGGCGAGTTTGAATTGTGATACGCATGATTCGTGGATCTATGGATCAACTTTGATGGATTTTATGAAAACTGTAAGTGGTTTATCATAGCTTGCTTTCTTTTGAAAAGACAGGAACTACGGTAGCACGTGGTAGGCAACGACGGATCCAGGGTTTCAGGGGGTCATAAGCTCCCCGAAAACTGTTTCCAGGACTTAGATGGACAACTAATTGATTAGAATTGATTTAAAAATGATTATGTGTTAAGTTCTTTAAGTGTACTTAAGTTCAGTACGTTGATTAATAAAATACCTACTGTTAGCAGGCTGAGGAAATGCCGCAATCCTTACCCAGATGTGTAGTTGGAAACCGTCATTGATAGTAGAAGTAGCAGCTACTTATTATATTTACTCGCGCTATATAAAGCGCGTAGCAGTACAAATAAAAACGACTTTCTCGTTAGAAATATAAATTAAAATACTAACAAGAGATGTTTACTTATTAGTATTTAAAAATATGCCAAAAATTAATTATTATTTGTAAATTGTGCAGGATAAAGTGAATGGTCTGTCAAGATCCTTAATCTTCGACGGTTTTGGACAGCGAAATAATGTCAATTTCGATATTTTGGAATTGACGCCAGCCGGAAATCAGACGGTGTGTATTTTGAAATTTATATATATAGAAATCACATAAAATATCAATAAATTCTATATTAAATACTGTCTGTAGTATACGCAAGTAGTACACATTTAAATAAAACGATATATAGTTTATAGTATAGCAGTTGAACATATTTAAAAAATATTTTAACTTCGGCTCGACGTTTCGAATGCTTCGCAGCCGTGGTTACGGAGAGAGACGGGTTAAAGTGTTTTATTTAAATTCTATATATTTAATATATATATCATAGTATTTTTAATTTGTAATTGCTTTTAGATAGGACACTGGATAAATAATCAATTCATTATCTCTCGACCAATAGTTCCTAACGCGATAGAGATAGCAGAAGAAACAATAATGAGAAACAAAACGTTTAAAGTATTGATTTCTACAGTAAGTATACTTATTTATAAAGTTTATTTATTGTACCAGAATGTCTATCTTATTTCTTTAAATTTTCTAGACACCGCCATATGGATATATGAAAGAATCAATAACCAAGCTTGAAGGCAATGATCGTTATGAAGGCTTCACCATTGACCTGATAGATAGGATAGCAGATATATTGGGTTTCAACTATGAATTTGAAGTTGAGGGCGATTACGGAAGCTACAGTACAGATACAAAGAAATGGAGTGGAATGGTGCTTAAGCTAAGGGAAGACGTAAGTGTTTAGCAAATTGTCCCTAAGATAATAATAATGTTAAATAAAATGATAATATATAAGTCACTTTACTGTCCCAAACACTTTAATATTTGTTTCAGTGAAGATTTAGGTTCCTCAATAGTTTTAAACAAGATTTTGTCTTTCCTTCGTTACCATAGTAACATATATATAGCGACGCATGTAACATCATGGAGTGCTTCTAATTGCCAATAAATATATGACAGCTCGTTGGTCTAATGGTAGCGAATTATGCCTAAAAATCTACGGGTCGTGGGGTCAATTTTCACATTTTTTCTAATTATTGTATATTCTTTCTGAAACATGTTGGATTTCGTCTGCAAATCTGAATATAAAATGGGGTCACAGATGAAAAAGTCGTGAATTTTAATCACGTTTCGGTTTCAGTCTGTGGATTTCGGAAGATTATAAGCCAAAATAAGTCGACTGCGCATCATAACAAAAAAATAAAAGATCATAACTCACGTCTTTTCAGAAAGCGGACTTCGCGATTTGTGATTTTACGATGACAGCGGAGAGGCAAAACGGAATAGATTTCTCAATTCCTTTCATGTCGCTTGGCATCGGGATATTATACAAGGAGCCAAGTAAACAACCTCCCGAAATGTTCTCATTTATGGCTGTCTTCTCTAAAGAGGTATGCTTTTAAAGTTTACGCAGTTTAAAATGAGTTTGTTTTCTACGCAAATAGATCTTGTAACAGCCATGAAAACAATATCCCTCTTAATATAATTTTCGTTACGTTCGGCATGCCTGCCGAAATAAAGTATGAAACATTGCGCAAAAAATGCATGCAGTTGATTTAATATTAACTAAAGAAAAGATTTTACATTGACATTTTAAATTGTAACGTTCTAAACCAAAACACAAAAAGGACACTATAGTGTTTAAATTGTTAAAAAATACTTCATTCATTACGTGTTAGTTTATAATAAAAATACTATTTATATGTCACTATGCAGTCTTTTTATTTGTTATTTTTCAGGTTTGGTACAACATGGTCTTAGTCCAGTCAGCATTAGGTGTGATCATGATATTCGTGGGTAGAATCTCCCAGAAGGAATGGCAAAATCCTGTACCATGCGAGGAGCAGCCAGAGGAATTGAGCAACCAGTTCAGTCTTGCTAACTCCGTTTGGCTCATCATTGGATCAGTTATGCAGCAAGGATCGGAAATTGCACCCATGTAATACTTTTATAAATTGAAAAAATGTAAGACACGGATAGGGCTTGAACCGCCATCCACAGCGTTGCTGTTGCTCTTATCAATTAAGCTACCATGTTCTACGCGTCATCGTCGAAATTTTCAAACCATTCATACATGCAAAAAATGTTATCGATTATATATATTTTTTTAATTTATTATATATTATTATTTTTTAATATAATTTTTAATTTGTTTAGCGCCATCTTGTGCATTAAACATATATAAAGTTTTAACTCATATATAGTTTGAGATTATGATTATATATTGTTTATCTAATTTAAAGCAAACTGAAAGGTTTGAAGGGGCACAGTAAGAGTCACGGAGGGGAAATGGGAAAATAGATGAAGTACACCCGACCTACTATCGGTGTCCTTATTAGAAAATAATAATAATCTTTTTGAAATTCTTTGTTACGTATTTCAGTGCTCTAGCTCCCAGAATTATTACAAGTGTGTGGTGGTTCTTCACGATGGTGATAGTAGCATCGTATGTTGGAACTCTGGTCGCCTTCCTTACAGTAGAAAAAAACGTATTGCCTTTCCAAACGTTAGAAGAACTTTACAATCATAAGTCCATTGCGTATGGTTGTAAAAGCAAAGGATCCACTAAACAGTTTTTTAAGGTACTCTCTCTCTAAGGAGTTACAAGGCGGGTACTAACTATTGGTTTTTAATTGAATAATTAACATGACACCTATATATTAAACTTTTTAATAAATCACGTTTGAATAAGTTAATTTTTAATATGCACCCTCTTTTTCAGGAGTCAACAAATCCAATTCACCAGAAAATGTACCAAAAGATGTATTCAAAAGGTTGGCTGGTGCCAGAGAATGATGTCGGCGTAGAATTGTTAGTAGAAATAATAATAAGTACATACAATGAACATTTTAATTTGAAAATTAATCTGGTATAAATGACAAGCCATAAACACATTTTTAAAACCTTATAGCGTGACTAGACGAAGTCGCTGACACACAGCGACTTCGTCAGCGTAACAAGATTTTGGGAATCAAAATTTGTTTTTGCAAACCTCCTCCTTATTTTTATACACATTTTTTTATACTTATACTATTTTATACCCAGTTACCCACGATGGCGAGGTCGTGTCCCGTGGTTCTTCCAAGTTAATTTTAAAAGATATACATACTAATACAATACTATCGCTGATTTTTTTAGATCATTTAAAGATGAATAATTCATATTTTCGGGTATTTTAAATCGTTTTCGCATCGGAATCCCACAAATAAGCGGTTATCGAGGGAGGTTATAGGCTTTAAAACATTAGGTTGTGGCAAAACAACATTTGCTACGACAGATAGTCTAACATAATATCTAAAAGTTCATCTCTAACGTCAGTATTCCAAGTAAAAGATCTAATATGGTCTTACAAAAGTCTCTCAAGTGGATAACAAGTCGATAAATACGAGAAATAATTCCACAGAGTAGAAAACTCAACCTATGCCTTGTTCATGGAATCGACATCTATTGAATACACGAAGGAAAGGCACTGCGATCTACTTCAAGTGGGCGGATTGTTGGATTCCAAGAGCTATGGAATTGGTATGAAGAAAGGTAAGACAATATATATTCAATACACAATGTTTTAAAACGATGTTGTCTGTTTTACATACATCGCAGTTATAAGTTTGTTTACGCTTTACCACATTGCACAGGCGCTTGGAAATTTTAGTACTATAAAAGTATGGGATTAATACTCCAATATATAAATTATTATAATCCAATGTAAACATTATACTTTATTTTTAAGTTTCAAATGGTATAGTAAAAGTTTTAATGAGTGAGTACTTCAATAAAACACTTTTAACGGTTTAAAACGCGAGATATATAATTCGAATCATAAACAACCTTTCGGATGCATTGTGGCAGCCGTGGTTATGCTCATCCATGCAAAACGTCCAGCCGTAGTTAAATTAAATTAAAATATTCAACCTAGTATATTTCGAATTTTAAACCGTTGAAAGTGTTTTATTAAAAAGCGGTGCATAGGGTAAATAAATTTCAGGGTCTGCACACTGATCGACTTTATGCACAGGCAAGTAGTGTAACTTCTATATCCCTGCCCGCTAGAAACAAATTATCCGAGAGTCGAACCTCCAATCTCTCATGCTAAGTATTAATGACACTCATCGTTTAACTATGGAATATATGGAGGCGGTTTTTGGTCCATAGTCTTATCATACCATTATAATTTTGAAAATCTGCTGTTGCTTACTAAAAAATTTATTTGCCAAAAAAATATTACAGGTTCACCATATAGGTTTTATATAAACGATGCTTTGATAAAGCTTAAAGAAGGCGGTGAAATTCAAAAGTTGAAAGATCTGTGGTGGAAAGAGAAACGAGGAGGAGGAAAATGCGGGGTACGTCCTGTCCCAGCTGTGCTTATAAATTTATTATCCTCAAAATAATTTATCTTATATGTAACAGTTACACATATATATAGCTAGATACAAAAACGTCATTTTTTACTAATGTTTTTTTATACAGGAAAAACAAGACGAAGCGCAGAAACAATTGGGAATGAAGAATATGCTGGGAGCTTTCGTAGTTCTTGGGGTTGGGTGCTGCATCGGTCTCGTTATATCTACTCTGGACATGCTCTGGGGAGTTTTCAAACGTTCTGTCAAATACAATGTTAGTAAATCTATTTCATCTGCTTTACGATTAATTATATAATATATTAAAGACTGTCTTTTCTATACTTATATTATAAAGCTGAAGAGTTTGAAGTCGCGGGAACAGCTAGTACAACAAATTCTTCTTGAGTTCTGAGTCAAATCGTTTCTAACCTATTAATGTACCACTGGAAAAAGTTCTCCTCTCGTATTAAAGTGGTTTTTAAGAACTTTGACCCGCCTAAGTGCGACTCAGTGTCTTTACCACCACTAAATAAGTGGTGAGCACTGGAATTGACAGCTTTACCGGCTCTTGTAAATTACATATTAAAAAAATATTATTTTTAAACTTCAAATTATGATAACATTTTTACAGACAACTTTCAAGTACGAATTAATAGAAGAGTTGAAGTTTGCTCTTAAATTCAGCGGGGACATAAAACCTGTGAAGCGACCACCGAAATCTAACGACAGTTCTGAAGCCCTAGCGGAACTCGAAGGGAAAGATGAAGTGAAGTCTCTGAGGTCTTTTAGATCTGGTCGTTCTACGGATACCAGAAAAACTGCTCACTCGCATAGCTCCAAACATTCGTCTGGTGGTCTAAGTGTTGCCTTTGCGAGACGACGAGAATATCTTTAGTCAGTATATTACGAAAGATTAAAAAAGGTTATATTTTAAATTAACAATCGATACATTTTTTAATCAATCACAATTAACATTTATATGTGTAATGTATATACATTTCTTTGTTTTTTTTAACAGTTCAGTTCCTGTTTTGATTGTCTAATCGTATTATAAAAAAAATTGAAATGGTCTTGTTTGATTTTCTTTTGTTTTTATACATAATTAAAATCAAAACTGTTTTAGTAAGTTATAGTTAGTTAGTAGTTTAGTAAGTCTAATTTCAAATGCCGTGATAGGTAACAAGTGTAGTTTTTTTCTCTTTATTTTCAAAATTTTAAAAATATTGTGAAGCATTTTTTGATGGCAACGAATCTACAGTCCTAAATATTCGAATACCTTAAATCTTTCAATTTTCTATAATATCTAACATATTTGTTTTATTTTTAACATCTTAATCTTAAATAATATTTCCTAGAATTAGATATAGCACTACTTTAATAATTATATATTTTAAATACCTAATTTAATGTTCATTTTATTATCTAAGTAGTCTATAAGTAATTATGTACTCACAAGATAGTTAAAGATATTTACAAAGAGAAACTGCTTTAATTAGGTAATTGTTATGATTTATTTATAAATTACGTCACTTATTAATCAGTCAATATGTCATTCCTTGATTGACAGTGAAGGGTGACGAATATAAAAATGAGACCCCGAGAATGAGAAATATGTAGCAATTTTCACTATTCTAAATTCAAAGTGTGGGAAAATTTATTGTCTATACCACTCATAACAACTGTTCTCTGAATCTGAATTTACACGACTGTTAATTTTATTAAGATGATCTTTTTGTATTTCCTACAAAACTTTTTCTATAACGAACAGAAGTAAACGAAAGCGTAATGGAAATTATTTATTAATTTCCAAAAGGTAAAAATAAATATGGTCGTAGTTGGTATATGGCCAGTTTCACCAAAAACCAATTACGACGGAACAGATGGCGCTAGCGTAGCAGTTTTTACTTTGACATCAGGGACACTCTCCATCTTTAGTCTTTCCGTGACGACGGCTTCAAAGCAACCGAAACGTCGGGCCGTAGTTAAAATGTTATGTCCTAACTACATTTAAATAATTTACAATGTACTAGATTCTTCAAAATAAATAATAATGTTCCTTTCGACTCCAAATATAATAAAGCACAAAGATTTATGCGTTCCCTTTGTTTTACGGCATAAAAGTATACTGAGGCGCAAACAAATTTTATTTCAGCGAAAATTATAAGGTCGTTAGAAGACAATGTATTTCGCATAATGCTTTCAATTTCCGTGACCTTCATCATGTTTCCATTGCCTAAGGGTCAGGTTTTCTGAGTGGAATTGTCGGTTAAAGTGTAAAGGTTTCCAAGTTAGTTTAAGGATACATTGAAGTCCTTTTAATGTAGTGATTGAATTGATTCACATTCTTACTTAATATACATATTATATCTTTTTCAAGTCAATTGTTAACTGTTTTTTCTAATAAATTCCATTAACATTTAACCTCTTCTTATAAAATTACCTATTTAAATAAGGTTTGTATCACTGAAAAACACGTTCAATAATGTTATTTTTAATAGCAAATTTTACGTGTCTATTATACAGCAAAATATGGATTGCTCGTGCGTTCGATTTTCGCAAGTGTTATGCTCAGTCTTCTGTATATGTAAAAATATAATACTACAAACAGTAATATTTCCAATAAGTGGTGCTATCTAATACTTTTAATCTTATTGAAAAAATTTAGTCTTTTCTGCCTTATAAACCATCCATATGAAGTATTAAAAATAATCAATTAAAATAACGAACGGGCCAATCTACCCAAGAGGTTGGAAATTGAATTTATATAAGTGGCGTTGTGTAAAACTCATCAGTCATCGAATCATTTTATCTGATCAATACGCTCCAACTCAGGACTTTATCAAATTTCACTCGAATTAATGCGCATTGAAGTGAAAAAGTTGCAGAGTATAATAATGAGTGTAGGTAGAACAAAAGATTGTTCGATTTTCATACTACCTACAAAAACATAGAATTAAAAAAGAGGTTTATGTTTTTTTTTGTTATAGAGGGAGACAGATAATCGTGGGGTTAACTTGTTAGTAGGTGTGATACCCCGAAAAGAAAAAAGAAGAAAGTTAAATTGTCTAATAACTCTTCTCCATAAAAAACAAACTCTATCGCATGTTTTGTAAGCGTGAAACTTTAAAATCATTTTCAGCCTTTTCATGTTTCCTTAAACTACACCATTACCTTTGCCATGGAATCAGTATGCTTATTGTGTTTTAAACAAATGTTGGCAATTTAACATAGTACAGACTTCTTTAACAAGTGCGTACTTTTATAGCCAGATCTGCATAGTTGGCGTGATGGATTGTGGCTATTATTTTAGTGGGCATCGCAAGCGGACACCGACCCCTGTGACCACATTTTTTATGGCATCCTTAGCCAGATAAATTGCTAAGAGTATTCTTACCATTTTTATTAAAATAATTGGCTAGTTTGTAATTAATATTCTTTTAACAACTTAATAATAAACATACATTATTTTTTGGGTTTTTGTTTCGTGAAAGGGTTTTGAATCCTTAAACACACATTTTACGTAAGTTACACAAGTAAAACCTGTAACTGTCAATGTATATAATATAATTTATTTATTTTACACGTTTTTATTTCCTTTTCAATCTATTCGGTTTCTAAGAAGCAAATTCAAAGAGTTGAACTCCTAGATACGAATTGACCTCTTCAATCAAACCAACTTCATTAGGGATGTCTTGACGAAGGCTTCTTAGGGATCGGCGGATAGATTTCTCAAATGAAGATCAGATTAATTTACAAGAAAATGGGTCACTTGGAGGTTTGGTTCTCCTCAGCTCAATGGTGAACATTGCTTTCGACGTCCACGGCTAAAGGTTCGAATAATATGTAAATTGTATATTGCTTTCAAAAAGTAAGAAAACTTTTTAATAAATAACAATGCCAATTGAAATGTATATATTATTCTTTACTGTACTGTTGTGTACATATACAAATTAAAAACTACAAGCGCCCTTGGTAGCTGATACACAACAAACAATTTCGTTATTGTTCGTATATTCAATCCCTACTATATCTTTTCATAATTGTTAATTGTTTTGCGTTACTCTGACGTCTGCTGTGCGAAGTATGCCTTGAATGACTTGATCTTTCTGAATGCGGTGTTGGTGCTGGTTCTAGGTCACCATTTTTTTGTGATTCCTCTTCGTCTAACATATTCTCCTTTTTTGAACCTTTGGAACCACTTCCGGTCGACTCCCGATGCCTCACAGGCTTGACATCGCCACTGAAGCTGAATATAAACTTTAACTCTGCTATTAACTCTTCTCTGAAAGACACCTATAAGATATAACACATAAGTAACGTTTTACTATATAATCCAACACAATTGAGTTAATTACTTCTAAAAAATTTAGTTTATTTCTGAAAACCTTGTAAGTGAACAAAGACTCGACGGATTCGTTGATGTATGGCTTATCAACGGGTCGTGGGTCCGATCCCCACCGGGTCCAACATATTTCTGAAACATGTAGGACTTCGTCTTATATGGGTAGTGCGAATATCGAAATTCCGTCCGGGTCACATTAAAATCGTTTAATAACTAAGTCACAGAAATATGTCTTGGTGATGCAAAATGGGATACTGTTTACTAAATCACTAAAAACTGTGTTATGTAGTTGTAACACTCGAAGATTATCATTATTTTTAAAATTTCAGTGAATATTCGTTCGTACTATTTATTTTATTTGCAATTTTTTTACGAAGGTATGAATAATATGTGAATAATACATCTTAGTTTTTACTTATAATAAATTTACCTTCTCCCTGCGAGCTATTATCCAAACATCAACCATCATCTCGAAGAAAGCGCAAACGACAGCCATCGCTGAACCAGCCACCAGGACAATGAACACTCCACCCACGTTCGCTAATACCAGAGGCTGAGCCTCCGCGCTACTTGCATCGTCATCCTTAATAATTTCAGTGTCTATCACTTTATTTATAAATCCTTGGTTAAATATAAATTGCTCTAGTCATTGTTTGTTATCCGCGTGATTGAGTATTAAACGAAAGTGGAAAACGTTATTCGGATAATAATAATAATAATAAATCTCTTTATTTAGCATTCATTTGGTATAATAATTAGACGTGGTATAAATAAATGTTGTCATACGTAGAGGAAGCAACTTGTCAGTCGAGCTGACAAAACCAGCGTTTATCTTTTTTATCTACCAATTTTTACACAAAAATTCCTAATCATTGGCGCTATGCAATCCTACATTATGCCTCTCCTCCCCCTTCTTATTTATGTATTAAGCTTTAATCTAAGTTATTTCTATGTCTCTACTTACAGCACAGGCACCACCTCCTCGCTTCTCTTTCCACCACTTATCTTTCATTCTAGTAATTTTACCTTGTTCTTGCATTTGTAATATCGACTCGCTCATTGGTTGTCGATAGGGCGAATCTATAAATAATAATTTTAATTATTAATCATAACAATACATGCCTATAAGCGCTTCATTTAATAGCAAAGTTCGCAAAAACCTAAGAGTATTTTTGATTTTTGCGGATTAAAATAACACTATGATAAACGTTTGGTGATCCGCGTGTTGATTGTATAACAGTAAATAGACCTTACTTTTCTTCATGGCAATGCCGTAGCCTTTGCTATCCAGAAGCCCTCCTACTTGGGCAACGTCACAATTTCTTTCAACCATATATTCAATTGAAGTCGATTCCATCAAAAAAGCGTAGTTTTTGGTTTCATCTTTAACCCTAGAATTGTATTGATTGAATACTTAAAAATAAATTGTTTAAGTTTAAACTTAACTACATAATAATTTACCAATCTAATCCAATGTCATTAGTCTGTGTCATAAGTTCGGGGTGATCTTCCATATATTTATACATTTTCTGATACAGTAAGTTATCGGATTCCTGTAAGAAATTATCCCAATATTTTCAAACACATTTAAAAACATATTCTGTGCTTTTATAGTTAATCTGGAATTTAATTAATAACCTTAAAAAAAGTAAAGGTGGCGCCACCAGATTTCGCACCGTATTCTATATTGTATGGGTTACTGGCTAGATCTGAAATACTTTTAATTGCATAAAATTTCGATTCAACAGTCAAAAATGCAGCTAAATTAGCTGTGTATGAAGAAACCATGATTAATGTGAAGAACCACCACATACTGCCAGCCATACGAGTGGAAACCGCTCTATAAAAAATATAAACAAAAATAAGTCTAAAAATAATAATAAGTTATTAAAATCTTAATACGAATACAAACAAGATTGTAATTACATTGGAGCAATTTCAGATCCTTGTGTCAAAACACTACCCAAAGTAAACCAAAAAGAATTTGCTAAAGTAAATTGATTGTCCAGTGTTTCAGGCTCTGCTATACAGGGATAAGGGTTCTGCCATTCTTCTGGTGCAAACCTTCCCAGGAAAAAAAGCAGTACTGAAACTCCAACATAAGCACCAGCAAGCCAACCCCAAACCTTAAAAATAAAAGTAATTTTAAATTAAATGTTTTGTGTTTAGTTTTTTCCTAAATCTAATCTTACCTGATATGAAAATGGGGAAATGAATGAAAAAAGATTAGGTGGTTCCTTTGTAGGTTTTTTGTATAAGATCGTTATACCCAAGTTCATAAAGGGACTGGTGAAATCAACAGCCCTCTGGCGCTGCGAAGTTATTGTCAAATCGGTTATAGCAAAATCCGCTCTCTGAAAGACATGACTTATGAATCCAAATGTTTGGTGAAACGAAAGAAGGAATTTTATTCATTGAGGTAAGCCAAAATAGCAAATCTTGTACGGTTTTCAATTTCACCTCGCATCAAGTTAACTCTATTCTTGTCTGTCCTTCTGGCATAAAAACAAATTGACACTTACACCATCCATAACTTTTTCCATCATACCAGTCCACTTCTTAGCTTTAGCGTCATATGAACCATAAACACCGTCTTCTTGAATCTCGAAAGTAAAGTTAAATTCATTCATTTTAGCCAGTTCTTCGATAATTTCAATTCCAAAACCTTCGTATCGATCGTTTCCTTCCAATTTTTTTGGCGATTCTTTTAACATTCCATACGGCTTACTCTAGAATCATGAATGAAAATTGACGCATTACTTAAAACTATAAACCTTATAATAAGGCTAATCACAGTCATATTGTACAAACCAATGCTGTAAGGACAATAAAATGCTTTCCTTTCATTGAGTCAGAACCTTCTTGTTCAACTGGAGGTATGCTCTTTCGCATTTCCGTGAATCCATCAAAAGTCCAGGCACCAACCTACAATATCATTTTATGCATCTGTTTTATGTAAATTATAAACAACACCCACAATGTATACTTAACAACATTAATTCTAGTAATGTTGATAACATTATGTAAAAATTATAAAGTTTTCAAACTTTTTATATATACCTCATGTTATATATTTAACTATAATAACCTTTTCAAAGCCATGTGATTGTACTTCAAGAACGTCCACTTCAAATTCCGATCTGAGACCATCTTCATCAAATTTGATTAATCCCGTTAAGCCATCTAGCTCCATCTATCGATTAAAATAAAGTACAATGTAAATTTTAGCTTTAATTGTGAAAAATATTTAAGATGATAAACTTACTGTTCTTATATAATTTACTACACTAGAGCCAAAACTCCAGGTTTCATCTGATTCACAAGTGATATTGCCTCCTTCTTCCAAACCCATGGCTTTAATAGCTGATGTGTATAACATAACCGCGTCATAAACTAAAGCTAAATTAAAGTTTAAACTGTTTCCTTCAATGGCTGTTTCTATTTGATTTTCCGATAATTCTTTTGCTTTCTCATTTATTGCAGATATGAATTTTTGTATGTCTTCCATTGTTGGGTCAAAGAACCGTATACCTATTTAAAAATTAATTTTATGAAAGTTCTGTTTTTGCCTCCCTCCGTTTCATAGTAGTTAAGATTGTTAATTGTCAAAAGATGTGTTCTAAATCCGTAGGAAATAAATTGTGTCAATCGGACACAGAAGTGAACTGATTGTCTATAAATAAAATGTACTTAGAGGGGGCGTACTATCACAAAAAATGAAATGTATTAAAAATTATAACAAACCAGTTATATTCGATCCTCCGTGTTTGTATGGATCAATATCGAGAGTTTGAAAATCGGGGTTCATGATAATGTAGCTGTGGTCATCAGACATAATACCAACTTGTTGCGCTTGTTGCAACAGTATTGGCAATGTTTCTCTGCTACATCCAATCACGTAGTTGACAGAACCGGACGCTTTTATTACCTTTAATTGTGATCTGAAAGGCCATACTTTATTTAAATGATAGATTAGATAGAGAAAATTAATAAATCTACGAATTTAGAGGCGATATACGTTAAATCCCACCTACCCACCACGCTGTTCAAGTGTGGAAGCTAAGTCTTGATAGATGAGATCTAGCAGTTACACATAAATAGGATGAAACTATAAACGATATTATAATGTACAAGTAAAGAATGACAAGACTAGACTACGTGCTCAGAGCAAGAATTATTATATATTTCTAGAACTTAGCTACCAATGGCGTTTATTATTTGTTAAAGTACTATAATTTAAATAAATACCATACCTAAAATCATCCCCGCTTGGCAGTTGCACAACGTTGATTACAATATGCTCTTTCGAATCCAAGTCTTCAATATTAAGTATATTATCAAAAAACGGCAAAAGTTCGGCGCCTTCATAAATTATAGTGAAATCCGTCCAACCTTTCATTTCTATAATGTTTGCAAATACCTGAAAATGTATAAAAACTTTCCCAGAAATTACTTTTATATTTTTGAAGTCGTATAAATTATTTCTAAATGCGAACCTTTGAATACGCCATGTGATTTGGATATAAATTGACTGCAGACCAATTTCTATTTTGTGTGGTCACGGGATCGGTTATAATTTGAGGTAGTTCTAGGTAATCGGCGATTGTTTGGACATAATTTAAAGTGGGCTTACTAGTAGGACCGAAGATTCCCAAAATATTGCTCTGAAATATATCATTTAATCAAATTCACTTAACATCATTGAACAAGTAAATTCAAATGAGTGTACAATATATAAATACAAAAGCTAGGTACACACAGGTTTTAAATCCAGAACCATTCGCTTAATGCTAATGATCACTAAGCCACAGATGCAACCATTAATTTATAATTATATAAATTGATTATCTTACTTCAAGGAGTTTGCAAATTGCATTTTCAGCTTCTATTAGGTCACCTGGAGATGTCTTGATAACGCTACCGGCAAACGTTACTTCTTCATTTTCTGACGCATCAGTTATTCCTAAATTAAAAGCTGCTTCTAATAAAAAGCTTCCATCGTCAAATATGGCGCCTAAAATACATCACATTTATATACCGTTCGTAGTTTACTCGAGTAGTACACATTTAACGGTTTAAAACGCAATATATATTAGTTAAACTTATTTGATAATTAAATAAATTTTACTATGTATCGCGTTTTAAACTAAAGTGTTGTGTTAAAATTCATCACATTTAATAATCGTTTTTAAGTATTGGACTATATATACACGGTTAAAAAAACATATAATTTTTTATTTTAATGCTCTATTCTTTATACTTTTTTTAATTCTTCTCAATAATTACAACGTGCTAATTTTTGATATTTACTCTAACACATTAAACATTAATGTTCTTTAGAATTAATTATTAAAGCCTTTTATGGGTCTAAAGTTATTTCTGTGTAAACAAATAAATTAAACTAAACATTTATGTTACTGTAATATTCGCATATTATGTATTTTTTCTCTACACAAATTTAGGATACTAGTTTGAAATAGTACTTCGATACAATTGTTACTCACATACCTATAGTTCTCTCACTACAAACTTCATATACCACAGAAAAAGCATAAAACGTAAAGCATTGTATTATATGACGACACAACATAGCTTTTGCGTGAGACAGAAACGCATAACTAATTACATTAATTCGCAGGCGAGAAATGCAATAGGGCTATTATTTTTGGATCTTTGGTATTGTGCAGTTGGTCATATAATTATGCCACATCTGCGACTAGTTGGCGCAACATTTGGCTACAACCTCACATAGCGTATATTTTCACTTATCCTACTAAAGCTCATATTCCGGGGTTGATTATTTCTCTAAAAAATACTTAATTTATTACCATTATAAAAAACGATAAGATTTGACCGAAAAGTCAGCTTTTTCATGAATATGTGAACAATGATTCAGTGATACCCAATGTTAAGTCTTATGTGATTATAAACATAGATTACAAATTTGTACATGTATATTTAATTAAAATTAAAAAAGGACATAATAAGAACCATTTATAAAATATTTAATTGTTCTGATTACACCGCCATCTAGGCGTTTTTTAATAAACCACAACGTTCTGAAAGCAGAAATGAAACTACTAAATAACTATGATAAGATATAAATTCTACTAAAGAGATGTAGATAGAGAGAAGATCATTAAGTCTCATTGATATCATATAGATGACGCTATTTTAAAATTTACATGTATTCCTGGGTTTATTCGTTAACAATATCCCATAATAATATGCCTGATATAATTAACTATGTTAATTATATATTTTTTACTATCCTGACTAAATAAAATATTTATCTTTATTATACTTCAATATATAAATATAATCAACATATTAAAAAAATAAAAAGCCCAAGACTGTTGTTATAAATTGACATATTGCCTAGCGTTGCTTAAAGTAATCGGACGGGAAAGTAATAAAAAATAAAATGCACACAGAAATGTGTCGTGTTATGTCGTGTTCGTATCGAAGTCTTAACATAATAAACACAAAATTACCACAACTCTATAGTAAAGAAAATAAATTCTTTAAACGTTTAAGTCTCAATTTTCCCTTGAGAACTAAATTCTCTCAAAGCTTAAGCTGTAGCAGATTTAACTGTCACCTTCAGAAATTAGAATCCGACGTGCTAATTTCCTTTCGCAATTACCTTACTTAATTAAATTCCTTATTTTAAACATTATCTCTCCTTGTTACAGTGCCAAAAGCACGTGATATCTTATTTATTCAATTATTCGATACAGAAATTAGTACTTTTGTTTTGAAACAAACATATTTCAGTTTTTTCTAGAGCTCTTGAATCTTGATTAAGATAAGATGTTGCCCGTAGATATAAATAGTCTTTTTCACGTATAAAACCACGATTAACTTTATTTTGCTTAGTACCAAGTCAACTTCATAATAATTTATAATACATAGAAATAAAGATAAACTATGGGATTATTAACATATCATAACATATTGCTGCGATAATTTTTGTCAGTAGTTTCCGCGAATAGTACACATTAAAAAAATGTCCCGCAGATCCACAAGTCTGTGACTACGGTTTCTGCAGGCACTGAAACGGGCCGTAGTTAAGATATATTGTTAATAAGTTAACTGCTACATTACGCGTTATAGTTAATACTTATTAGGAATGCGATTTAAATATTCTAATAGTGGGGAATAAATACTAAACCTACTTACTACACAGACCAAATGCGTGTTGGCATGACATATATAAACAATGTTTTACTCCGTTACCAAAGAGCACGTGATACTGTCTATAGTTTACGCGAGTAGTACACATTTAAATAAAACACTTTAACGGTTTAAAACGCGATATATTAGTTAAACTTATTTGTAAATGATTTTTAACTTCGGCCCGACGTTAAAATCATTTTCAAATAAGTTTAACTAATATATCGCGTTTTAAACCGTTAAAGTGTTTTATTTAAAAGAGCATGTGTCAAAATCCGAATAATATCGAATATCAAAAGCCAAAATAGGTCGAGAGCGCATTTTGTTTCGATGTTATAAGGCCGGGTTATATCAACTTCCATCGAGTGAACTCCATCATCCTACAACTTAAAAATAAATAAATAGAATTTTATACTTCTAGTGCATGACTGGGACCCGCACTTTAGATTCTCGAAAATAAGAAAAACTTTCGTATAAAATATTATTAATGGTTCAAAGTTCAAAATATGTATCAGAACCGTGATATAGGCCACAACATGTTACCTTAGTTTACATACGAAATACCCTCGGGACGATCGTTTGAGCCGAATGTATCACATGTTTTACATAAATTTCGGAACTACCCACCTAGCTCGAAATCCCATGCGTCATATGTTACGACCTCTCAATGTATTTACATTTAATATGAATGTAGGAGAAGATGTTTCATTTATGTAGAAACTTCGTACAGTTTATTTTAAAGTAAATAAAAACCTTTTGGATTCAACGAGAAAAATACATAGATACACGACTTAAAGCTAGGTTAAATGATAGTCGAATTTTCGCATTAAGGGGTCCATCCATTGACTTTTATCATGGAATTGTATATTGTTATCTTTTTCACTAGTATTGACTAACAAAGGTAAAGTTTTTATTTATTATTAAAGAAGAACTACAACTGAGTAAATTAATATTTTAAGAAGGTATAAAGTTTTTAGCCCTGTTTACGAACCTTAAAAAGTAAGACTTGGAACGACTGTAATTCTACGAAGAGATTATATACTTAATATTGTAAAACTGGATAGTATATTTGTTTGAACGCGATAAATTCAGGAACTGCCAGTTTGAATTAAAAAAATATTTTTACTATTATGGAAAAATCTTTGAGGTCTTTCTTGGTCTTACCGTAACGTAGCTTAAAACTTTCCTCAAAAAAATGTTAAATTCGCATTAGTAGATCCTGAGATTAGCGCGTTTGAACAAACTTTTCAGCCTTATAATATTGGTAGGTATAGAAAATAAATTGTCACAAATGTCAACACCTAACTCACGATAAATTCCAGCACGAATAATGTCCTTTGAGACTTCACCTTAATGTTGTGAATATTTAAATAATAATCAGTGTAAAAAGATGGGTGCAACAGACTAAACAGCTAATTCCTTATTCATTGTAATCCTGCCCCGAGATCCACGATTTATATTTTACTTCTCCATTCATCGTTAATGCTACACAATGCCAGCTTGACGGATTTTTTGTACACCTTTTGAGTCTGGCACAATTTAATTTGTCCGCCTTTATAGCGTCGGTATAACAAAAAGTTATGAATGGCTATGGAAATTGTTACTTAGGCAATTTGAATCTGTACAGTCAATTTTAATAATAATTCGTTATTTTTATAAGGGTTTCTAGGGGTTTCATAAAAGTATTATCATCGTCATCAGGTCAAAATAATCCTCACGATTCGGAAAAGGCAGTTTCAAGATATACCTCTGACCAAATTGGGATTGAGTGTTGTCATATGACAACACTTAATACTGCCTAATTTCTTTCTAGTTCTTAATAAATTTAACACTATTAAATGTTTAAAATAATATACACACAACCTACAAACAAAAGGACACAGAGAGTCAGATCTATAAGGACCTTGTTAATTCCAAATACCAACTACTACGAAACAGATGGCGCTAGCGTAGCAGTTTTGACTTTGACATGCTGCAAAGCATTCTGAATGTCGGGACGTAGTTGAATTAAATTAAACATATATTTCGCGTTTGAAACCCTTGAAGTGTTTTATTACTAAATCTAGAATTTTTGGTTCGGTTTGGTAATGACGTTTGTTGTACTAGGAGTACTCATCAGAGTTATAAAGACAAATATTTTTGGACACGAAGATCTAAAACAAGACCTCACTGTTAGTAAGGTGCTCATACGCTAAACAAAAAAAAAACACTAAAAAGAAAATTGTTCTATCTCCATTTCTAGTGTTGCTTCAAATATCAATCTTAGCGAGTCGGCTTAGTCGCTATAGAATATTCCTACATAGTAATTGATCACATGGATTTGAACCCAGGACGAACGCCGCTGTAACAAGTAAGTCATACATAAAAGATACCGTGACTTAATATCGGGATTCCGATATAGACAGAGCGATTTGAAATGTCTTTAAGCACTCTCTTTGTAACTTTCATGTAGAAAAGCTTGGGGCGAATAGCGAATTCGCCACTCACTTACATTTCAGTATATTTTCAGTAAGTTCCATAGCTATTTATAAAAGGAACTAATTCGTTCCATTTTTATATTGAATTGTTGAAAGAGATTGACATGGTCGTTGATCTAATGGTAGAAATGTATGGCTAATAAGAATCAAGGGGTATGGTTTGAAAACATTAATATTGTTTACATTTTATTGCACATGAAGGCACTATATAATTTGAAAATGGGAAATAAATAAAAAAAAAATTCGACTCGGGCAGGACTTGATTACAGGACTCGGTAGCTCAATTGGTAGGGCAACAGCACGGAACGCTGACGATGCCGGTTCAAGTCCTGCCCGAGTTGTAAATTTTTTCAATTTATTTTCGATTTTTAAATTGTTCGATCTCCACCGAGTGCAACAAAAATAGTTGGACTTCGGCTGGAATTGTGTTTATTAAATGGGTGGTAGGAATATGGAAATTCCGTCCGGGTGACGAGCCACCGTCCACAGATAAAAAAGGCGTCAAGTTTAATCGCGTTTCGGTTTTAGTCTGTGGATTTTCGAATTTCCAAAAGCCATAACAGCGCATCTTGTTTAGATGCTCGCTATGTCTGTCCTTCTCTAACATTAAAAAAAGATAAGGTGAAAACACTCTCACATCAAGAAGATTTTCCAAGAATAATAATAATAGAAAATACTCTAATTAAAGGATGATTATATATTGAGGTTTTTACCTCAGCCTACTTTGGGAAAGCAATTTTCTTCTAATATCCACATAAATATTAATGATTGCTGGAGAGGAAAACAATGAGCTCCGTAAATCATTCTTAAATAACAAGTGCCTTGAGTAGTTTAACATCATCTTATGTTTACTTCAAATTGAACAAAACCCATTGATATACTTATTTTTTATGTATCTTAGACAAGCATTATAATATTATCTACTAATTAGTTAGTAGTAGTATAAAAAAACCTCGTTGACACTTCTCGTGACCTCTAAAGCACTTGATTTACATGAAACTACGAGGTCCATAGTTCAATTCCTGAATAAAGCTAAATATTAATTCAATATATTATATTGAATTAATATTATATATAAAAAGTTTATAAGTCGAAGCCATCACGCCCGTAGTAGTAGCCATGTACCGACCCACCAATCTGCAATTATAGCGTGATGGGTTTCAAAATAGGTAGTCGAATACATCGATAACAAATCCAGTATTTATTAATTTCATGTAAAATGTAGCGTGAAAGCAGATCACCGTCAGGGGTGGCACCCAAGCTTAATTGAAACATGTCACAGCTATTGAAACAAGGCGGTTATTTGTCAACCCTGTTCCGGTTTTATTGAAATATCGTTTCAGATTGTTTTAGAGGGTGAATTTCGACGATCTATTTGTTTCGCGTACTCACATTCGGGGATATGTATTTTGAAAACAAATTAAATTAAGGCATCTTTCACGCCGGTGGTATTAGGGCAACCTTTGTGATCTTTTAGTGTATCCGATATTTAACATATAAATAAAATAGTATAATTTAACTAACGAAGTAGTTTGATTGTTAAAAGAAACTGGGTAACTTTTATTTTAAATAAAACAGTTTAACGGTTTAAAACGCGATATATGCAGCAGTCGTGGTCACTGGTCACGTGTCTCCGCGTGACCTCAGCTGCTGCAAAGCATACGCAGAAACGTCGGTCCGAAGTTAAAATAACTTTCAAATAAGTTTTACGAATATATATCGCGTTTTAAACCGTTAAGATGTTTTATTTAAATTTGTGCTACTCGAGTAAACTACAGACAATATTTGAATTACAGACGAGAATCGAACCCGTGAAGCAATATACCAACACTTTGAACAATACCAATACTTAACCTTTATATAGACTATTTATGTATAACAAACAGTGCCCGCGTCTTCATCCGGGTGGAATAGTTATTTTGGGCATCATTCTATTTGTTTTTGCAAACAAGCTCATCTGCTTTATAAATTATGGCTGTTACCCACGAAGTCATCCGCGTAATCTAAAACACAGACATATATTTTTTTTAGATTATTTAAAGTAGAACCATTATTTCATACATATTTTTTGGGTATTCGTATGAACCGTTTTCGCAGAGTATGCCTCAGAAACCCATAATGAGATTTTTTTTATTTTTTTCACATTTCTCGTTGTATTAGTCACTTAGTCGATAAATGTTCTTACCAACACAAAAATAATTTTTCAATTCGAACCCGTAGTAACTGAAATTAGGGCGTTCAAACAAAGAAACAATCTCATCAGCGTTATATATTACTATTGGTAGCCATTGCCATATTGTAAGAAAGTATAGTTTTTTATCTGCATTTTCTCAACCACGTAGAGTGATCACTTCTGAAAGAAAACTTCGACGAGCACATGAGGCGCATAACTTTATCTAGCAAAGATATTCTTATACAACACCATAAAAACTTACCCTCGCTCCGAAACTAAGTAAACATGAAATAGATTGTGTATTCTGTAAAATACTTAATATTCATAGCTTGGCGTCTTTGTTTCCGGTGAGATATGAAGTTTTATATTAAAATATCAAGTTCTAAGTCAGCGAATTTATGTTGCGAGGAAGATTGTCTCATACTCGCATTCACGTTACTGCATTTTGCCCGCGACTTCGTCCATGTGGACGTGGCTTTACTGAGATATCATTTTGTAATATATATTTATGATTAAAATAAACTTAAAACCTAAGTTCTATGGAAACTTTAATATTTTTTACATAATACCTCAACTATCGACCTTTTTGGCTTTGGATAATGGGAAATCCATGAACTGACACCGAAACGCGATTAAGCTTCGCGGCTTTTTCATCTGTGAAAGGTGGTTCGTGACCCGGGGCGGAATTAGCCTCGATTGCTATCATTTAATACCAACGACTATTTTCCGTTATCTTTTTTTAATAATTTCAATAAACGGACAGTCAAACAACTTCTATCTCTATATTAATGTATTGATGACATTACCGCATTCTTCATGCATTGCTTACATGTAATTTATTCCCCTCGATATTAACATATTTACTGTGTGGAATATTAGAGAATAATTAGTCTGCTGTTATTAGATTCTGTTTCAATATTAGTCAATCGCCTGCGTTTGAAATAGACTTTTGTTTATCTTCAATGTTGATAATGGATATAATTTTAACCACACTTTCTATTGTGCTTACGTAATCATTGTTGATAGGAAGTTAAACAGCAATTTCACGATATGATTTGTTACCTTATTGATTAATATAGAGCCGCAAGTTATATTATTTGTATTTATGTATGTCGTTTGTTTTTAAGTTCGAACTTGAAGGTGTCGCATCAGACTGTTTTTAGACACCTATAGCCTGAGAGCCTATAAATGTTACATAGGCCGTTTTAAATTAGGGGTTGTCCATTAATCACGTGATCTATTTTTTTGAATTTTTTAACCCCCCCCCCTCCCCATTGGTGAAACCCCCTTCCCCCTTCTAAACATCACGTGTATTTTTAGTACCTACAAAGAATCTTAAAATTTTCTGAATATTATCTTAATTTAAATACAGGTATAGACTATAATCTTATTTTATTCCGAAATTAAAGACCATAATAAAAATGTCTACACCATTTGTTTAAAAATCGCGCGTTTGACGAACGAAAAATTGAAATTATAAACGAAAAAATAAATACACGCGATATCTTACTACACGCCTCCCCCCCTTGTGTTATTTTCGTGATTTTTTTTTTAAACCCTTCCCCCCCCCCTTTTAAGCCTTACGTGATTAATGGACGACCCCTTAGTTTAACTTAGTACTTCTGTTGGGCTTACCCAGATAAACGCGTAGTTATCCCTTTACTAAGTGTGAACCGCATCGTTACGGACGCGAACGACATAGTGGATACAGCTATAATTTGTAAAGCTGAGGAGGTTTGCAAAAACAAATATGATGTCCAAAGTCACTATTTCACGTCGATGAAGTCGCTGGCTAGTGCTGAATATATGTGTATTTTTTAACTAAATAAAAAAAATCTATGAGTCGGCATAACCGGACCCTTTAGGACGCGATTCGAGTAAGTCTATAAAAAACTTATACATACCTAATTGTTCAATACCTCAAATAAATATGCAAAACTTATGTGTTCATGCATAAGGTAATTAGTATCGGTCAGACTCAAAGTTTTTCTTGGGTCAAGCCCTCATTGATTAAAGGAAAGGCGATCTAGAACCCTCATCTTACTATCTATATATACTTTGGAAGGTCGACGGTCTTCAGATTACAAGATTTACAGCGGTTTGAATAAGTTTGAAAATGTATAAAGAAACTCTTTACTGTGGTCATAATTAAATGCCCAAAGCTACTTATTTATTTATTTAAGAATACACGAAACAGAATTAACACAGTAACAAATAATAAGGATAGAAAGTAAAAAATAAAATACAGATATGTCCTTAAATAGATTCACAGATAAAATTGAGCTTAAAGAATTACCTAATTATAAGACTATATATTCACTTCATTACAAGACGAGATCTTAAAGAACAATGACAGGTATTAAACAACAATAGGTTGTCGTTATTAATTAAATGTTACAAGGCTATGGGTTTTACTTTCCAAGGGTTCCCCATGCAAAAAAGCTTTTGAGTCTTTAAAAGTATCTCGTGTCCAATATTGGCGACTAATTTCGTTCGACTGAATAACGAGCAATCAGGAGAGCGAAGTGCTCTGATTAAATATTGAGTCGTTGGTTAATGTTCGTCGGGGTTTGGGAATTATTGAAGGGTCCTGAAAGCTTTGGCCGTGGACTAAGCCAAATCTGGTCGCTGTAAAGTCAAAAATGGTTTTGCTGTTTACGTACTTACATAATTAAAACACAAGTATTATACTTCTTTCTTTTTTATAAAATAACAATTTTGAATTCAAATAAAACACGTTAACGGTTTCAAACGCGATATATTTTAGTTAAAATTTTATGAAAATTATATTCAACTTCAGCCCGACGTTTCGGCTGCTGTGTGCTATGTGTGTGTGTGTATTTATATTATAGTTTAGTTTAATTACTAC